GCAGAACTCCTCTTTATTATTACCCTCTCCTCTGTTCTGACAAACTCAACATTACTCAACTATTTCATGCAGAGCTATAACGTTCTCACTCCTCCACCTTCCAGGCCACATCTTGGGGCTTTTTTTTCCCCACTGCTTGTTGTGAAACTGAGTTCCTAACAGGAATTCTGCCTCCAGCTTCCAAAACCACATTATTGTTTCTCCTTGCTAACCTTTCATCCTTCCTTTGAGTCCCATCCTCGGAAACCCAGGGGCCTCATGCTTTCCCACACTCTCTGGATACAGTGTAGGCCCAAGTGAGTTTCAGGTCTCAGCCTGTCTCATTCTGCCCCATGAGGCTGAGGGTTCAACGACTACACCCCTTCCACAAGATTCCTTCCCAGCTAGACTGATACATTAATATCGAGAATTAATCTCATTGAGTAATACTCCCAGTGAGGTGTTCCTAACTGAAAATGCCAGGGGTATATATGGCTTGTATTTTAAAAGAGGACTTAACTCAAAGTGTTAGACCAGTGGTTCGCAGCCGGGAATGGTTTCACTATCACCCCTCACACGCCCCTCACCCACAAACACACACTGGGGTCATCCGGCAATGTCTGGAGACACTTTTGGTTGTCATAACTGGGGAGCAAGGGAGTTGCTTCTAGCATGTTGTGGTTAGAGACCAGGGTAACTTCTAAAGATCTACAATGTGCAGGGCGGCCCTCTCACACAGAGGGTTAGATAAAGGGAAATTTCATTGACTGGGCAATGTCTGGGCAAAAATATTTTGGGGAAATGCCCTTTGAAAAGCACACACAGACACGTGTCACCCACCACCTCTTCTTCAGATCATCCCAGTGTGGTAGTTTCTGGAAGGAACAATGGAATCCTAGAGGGACAGGGAGCAGCCTGACTCTGGGGCCACCTTGGGGTGCTTGAAGTGCAGAGTCAGCAACTTGCTTAGTCAGGTCACCCCAAAACATAGTTTATCAGGGAAGAGACAATCGGGGTGGATTTCCTTTGCTGGGGGAGAGTTTGTTTCCATTTTCTGAGCTTTCACTGCTTGTATATAAGTAACACACACAATCAGGATGCACAGATATCAATAAAGGGGTGAGGGATCTTGTATGTTTTTAATCAAGCTGAGAAAATACCATTTTAGCCAAGAGTAAGCACTTACATTGAAAGCAGTAATTCAGAGAAGTCAACAGGGTGGGTCTAGCTGCTGTGAAGAGACACTGAATTTATAAATGGTGCGAAAGCAGGCTGACACCGAGAGAGGGCAAACACTTAGATGGCGACCACAGGAGAACACAGGGTAAAAATCTGGAATAATTTCTTGGTCTGGAATATAAGCCACACCCATGAACTCACAGGAGTAGTTATCAGTAAGGTAAGACGATTGCCGTCCCTGAAAATCTTTACAAACTTGAGAGACCCCTTTCGATTAAGTTGTGTTAAGCATCGTTCTGAGAAGAGACACGGGAATAATTCCCATAACCTGAGCGATTTCTTTTCACCAGAGGGTTTGGCAAGACTGTCACAAGTTTAAAATAACAAAGTCAACACTGAAAATTCTCTTTATTATGTTTTGATTTCACAGAAAATGTAGACTTGTAAATAACAATAGTTCTTTGTAACAATCTGCGTGACACTTTTATTAGCTTGTGGAAGTGGGAGGTTTGGTTAAACAGGAATCCATGTGAATATCAGGAAAAAAAAAAACTAGAGCTGGAACAACTATGATTTAGAAAAATAATGATCATGTTGGGCTTTGCAAACCACCTGTCACCTTGCTGATCCCCAGAAAAATGTAAAGAACATTCTCATGGATGAGTGAAAGTTTTTTCTGCCTAGGTAAGGAGAAGGTCGAAAGAAGCATGTCTGAGCTGTCAGCTGACACCCGGGCATTGCTTTTCAGAAGTCGGCACAGGCCTGACAGAAGCATTTACCAGCTTTGGAACTGGCGAGGTCTATTTGTTAAGAGTACAACTTTTGCTCTGAAGATAAGGGAACCCAGGTTGAAGTATAGTAAATAGACACAAAGGAATGGTTCTGGTCCATTGGACACCTCTTTGAGCCTTTATTTTGAGAGTGGGCAAGAGGGGAGATGAATGTTTTTCACCTGAGCGAAACAACACCAGCCCCGGGCCAGCCTTTAAGAAAGGAGAAGGAATAACAATATCCTGGCCTGAGAATGCTGCCAAGCACAAGCGCAAGCATGGTCATGTTGGCTGCTTCTGAGAGAGAGGCCCGCTGTAGGTCTCAGAGGGTCGATGTTAAGATTCCTTAGTAAATTCATAGGGTTAGGAAATGCTGAGGTGAAGCTGGATTTTCTGACTGTAAAGCTACCTTCTTTGAAAAAGAAACGTGATACCTCATGTTTTCAAGCTTTGTAAAAACTCCAAGAAAAAGGAATATGTTATGACAATTGAAAACATCTATTGAAATTAACGTTGGTGGCCTGGAGCAGAGCTACACAACAGGTATGGGGGATCTGAGCAGTGGCCTGAGGCCTCAGCCTCTGGGTCTCCCTATGCATCTGGTAGTAGGTGCTGGGAGGGGACAGGGAAGCAACAGCAGGAGGAAAAGTGGAGGTTACCGACAAGAGCTGAAAAAGCCACTCTCTGCCATGACCAAGCTCAGCCACTCACTTGGCAACAGCTGTCTGGCTGTTTCCCTCTCATTCCCCCTCCCATCATCTGGCCCCATGCAGATTAAATTGCCATCTGATGGGTCCTTCTGGGATGCTCATTCCAATCCAGTGACATCTGTATGAGAGAGTCAGTGTTCTGAGATGCCCTATGTCTCTCCCACTTCCACCCTGAAGCATCTGTGGTCCAATAACGTGCCAGGGCCCCCAGCCCCAAGGAGCACAGAGCCAGAACTGAGGGTGGTCTTGGCACTGGGGCTTTTGTGCTTAAACTTAAGCCATTGGAGGGGGGTCTCTTCGGGCAGGGCATTGACGGTTTCAGAGCCTGAGGGGCTGTCCAGGATGCTGTAACTAGAATGTGCCTTGGCAAACTGTGTTCACAGAATACAGACAAAGATCAGTCGGTACCACAGACTGATTTAGGGAGGCAAATGTACTGAAGAAAACAACCCATTTGCTGGTCTCAGAGTCACATGCAGATTATATCTTTATTGAAGAAAATTCCTGTGAGCCAGTCAAGATCTCCGATTGTGTGGAACTTTTTCAGATAATGCAGAAAATTAATGGCTATCATCTTGGGCCTAGAAAGCTTCGATTTATAATAAGATTTTTATTGAGAGGGAATTTGTAAGGGGATTTGACTTGAATAGATTCTCTTATTATTTTGTTTTGGGTAATTCATGCCATGCCTTCCCTTAAAAGCCTCAGATAATCAAGAGTTTAGTACATTTTAGAATCATGGATTGTTGATCCTCCACCAAGCCCTAAATAAAATGAATTTGAAATTATCTTCACCTGTTTCTTTTCTTCATTTTTTTTTTCAAATAATGGCGATTTCCTCTTTCAGAAATAAAAGCAGATAAGAATATTTCACTCTCTTATAATGCCCTCCACAATGGCCATACACACTGATGCTTGAGATGGTTGCCAGAGTCTCCCTTACAGATTAGGACAATTTATGCAGGTTTCTACATGGATATGCCTTGTCTCCTTGCTCTTTATCAGGAAGGATGCATTTCAGAATAGAAAGAAAGATCTAAACATCCCAGGAATAAAAAGACAATGAACCTCCCCTTTGGATGCTAACATTATTTAGAATCCACTGAGTTACTTCTGAGACAGACTAGTTTCATTTAATAGATAAAGTGCTTAACTTTCTTGAACACTGTTGGAGTGTGGTCCTATTTGTGATGGAGTGCTGGGGTAAAGGCTGATATTTGTACAGATCCCTGCACCTCTCGTAGTCCCAGTTTCCACAGATACAAATTGAGGGAGCTGAGATGTCCTCTAAGTCAATTTCCATGTCTAAATATATCCACAGATTTATGGTTTCACAGTTCGTCCAGCAGGAAGAAGGGCGGATGGCTTTGGGATCCTCATGAAAGTCCCTTCATCCTTGCAGGAAGACATTCACAGCAAGTTTCAGTGTAACTAAGACTGAGCCCTCTTGCCCGGCCTTCCCACTCACCCTACAGGCCCACACAGAGCTCAGAGCAGCTACTGTCATGCTCCACTGTTTCCACCCTCTTAATCCATAGAATAAAAAGAAGAACGAGCCACTTTGGAAAAATTAGACAAGAAATTTTGCGGTTTGGGAATGAGGGAAAAGAGATGAATGCTGTCATTTTTAAGAGGGCTAGGGGGCAAATATCAATTATGACAAAATCCTCCAGCATGTTGCTTTCCAAGAGCCTCAGCCTAAATGTCCTGCTGTAAAGCAAGGATAGAGAACCTGAAGGCCAAAGTATTAAATGAGGAGATGTCAATAATTTGACACGAGATGCACATAACGAAACACCCTGTTAGTTAATGTAACTCTGTGAAGGCATCACATTGAGAACAAGAACCTAATTGTAGAAGCAGATGAGAAGCAGCTTCCTATATTTCACCTTTCCTTCATTTCTTATCCAAAATGGGGCAGGCGGCCTCTCTATTTCCCCTAGATGTCATCTTTTGGCTCGTGGCAGAAGCCAACTACAACTTGCATATTCATGTTCCCACAATTACAGCTGGGTCCCTTAAATATAGTCTCCAAGTTACGATTTGTTTGCAGTATAATATACTAGGGTTACCGACTTTACAGGCAAGTCTGTGTGTCATTTGCTTTAGGCTATGATATCTCGTCGTCTTGTAAGTGTCAGATGAACACAATTTAATATGACAGGTCTTTAAAATGTGCTTGAAGGGTAATGATGGTAAACACAGTCAACTTCTTTTGGGCATCTGCTTATGGTAAAGGCTGTCCAGGCATGACTCTCTGGAAACCTCTTGTCAGCATTTTCGTTCCCTGATCTTGTCAGCCCTGAAGTTGTCATTCTCAAAACCATTTCAGTTACAAAATTCCACGGGTCACATGCACCATACCACATAGGAATGTTATTCCCCCTTGTTTTCCTTATCTGCACAGACACATTTTCTTGTCTTCCACTCACTAAGGTATTTTCCTCCATCTCCACCCAGTAGATACAGGATGCTGCCAGATTGTCAATCTTCTTTTTAAATCCCTTCAGATCCTGAGTGAGAAGAAAGCCTCATTCCCTAAAGCTTCTTTATATGGAGGGGACAGTATCGCAAAGGAATCACTTTCTGCGGCTTTTGCTATTGCAAAGATTCAAAACTTGCCCAAGGACAGCAGTCCCACCCGGTCACATCAGATTTCAATATGGCAATAAATGCCTTGAAAAACATGCATTTTAAACCTAAAATTTATTGAAAGCCATCATTCTCCAGGCACTTACCAACTACCCCTGAAGGTGGTGGCCGTGAAAATCACTTGATCAGGCAAAAGCCTTGCTTGGTCTTTTCAAGAATTAAAGTTAACTCAGTGACAGCTGATCCTGCTTTCTTTACTTTACCCTCCAGAGAGAAGCATGGAATTTATTAACTGTGAGCATTTGTTGGAAGATACAGAAAAAGCTCCTTTGAGACACTATTCCCCTCTGGCCAACTGCTCTAGAAAGGCAAACCTTCTCGGTGGGTGGAGACAGTGAGCTGGGCCCACCCCTCTTGCCTTCCAACAGCCTGTCATGACCAGGAGAAGATGTGCCCCAGGATGCTGGAAGTCAGAGAGAACAGGGCATGCTGTATGTGCAGCATGTGGCCGCAGTCCTGGGGCCCCCAGGGAGGGAGAAGGGGCTTCTGATGAGACAAAGGCCACATGCCTTAGGAATACCTCCCCGAGAAAACCCAAAGACCCAGAGTCCTTGCAGAGCCAACGGAGTCCTTGCAGGCAGAGAGGTGGATGGCAACCTTCGCTGGGGTCATGTGGGAGACGCCCAGTCGGCACTCTTGGGGGCCTTGCACGTGTGCACATCCAGGGCCTCCAGGCAGTCCTGACAGCGCACAGCACAGCACCAATGGAACTTACACTCACACTTGGTCATCCGGGTGACACGGGAAGTGTCGTAGCCTCTCCCGCAGCACATGACTTCGCAGCTGTCCATGCCTCGGGAAGTCAGGTTGCACACGCGGCCTGCTGTACCCAGGGAGCCTAGAAGATAAGCCAGGGAGGCGTCACCAAAAAGGTACAAGTGGACTGCAACATGCCTCGAGAGGAGAAGAGTTAGGAGGTCATCCTCTGGGACGGGGCCCTGACTCCACCTCACCACAGCCTGGGGCTGTACCACCAGTTCTGTGGGCCCATGTAGCGTGTGTCAACCCTGGGAGCCAACCACAAGGAGTGCAGTGGTGCCCAAAAGGCCAAAACCAGGAAGGATGTTGTGAAGCTTTGGATCTGCGTTGGGCAACCTGACTCCAGCGTTCCCACTTCTGAGTTAGATCAACTTCTCAGATTATCCTTGACTAGCCTTGGATTGATGGATCACCGAATGGGCAAGGATGAGAATGAAAGAAGAATCTATCCTAGTCCCTTCTGTCCTGACCTCAAACCATGTTAAGGAAGCAGTGGCCAAAGTTAGCTCTCTCAGAACTTGTAGGGGTGTGGAACCCTCAAAGAGAGGGGATTCTGTCTCCCCAGTCCTGATTCCACTGGCTTATTAGAAGAGAGGAGAATTCTGGTTGTTGAAGGGGAAGTGTGGGCATCATTTGTGTAAGACCTTGAGGAGGGAGCAAGGCCCAGCCTGGTTAATCTTTCGTACTGCAGTCTAGTGGGCCATCTAGATGTGTGTGAGGCATCTGGTTGAAGTCAAGATTCTAGGTCTTCTATGAACAAAGCTGGCATAAAAACCCTGTTAGGAATGACCAGTGGAACACTGTTTTAGTTAATTAGGGTGATGTTTACTAAATTGCAATTCATATTCATATATTTGTTTCTGAAAAAAGAATCTCAAAGACAGGAAGCCTCTTAATTTGTTCTATCCCCAGGTAAGCACCCAGAATTCTTTTACAAGAGCATTATCAGACAACAGAACCAAGTGTAGGGGACATTTTTGGAGAGTCTGCTCAGCTTACAATCATCCTTCCTGCTTCTTCCTTCTGCACAGAGATGGGCATCTCATAGCCATGTTGAATGACATTACCCCACTTATTGGTGGCAAGTGATTGGACCAGGGGTGGGCACCTGACTTGCTCCAGGCCAAGCAGGTAGATTTCCTTGGGGATTTGTGATTTTGATGGAGACAGTCTTGCCAAGTATAATCTCAGTAGCCATTGGCAGCCATGTACCATGGTGAGGTCTGAGGACTAGAGGAGCTCCACAGAGAGACAAGAACAAGGCAGATGTACAGAGACAGTGAGGAGAAGACATGGAAGGAGAATGCTGCCCAGATCCTGGACTATTTTCTTGTCCTGCTTCCACTTCTCCCTGAGGCCTGGCTGCATTCCGACCTTTGGTTCTTAGAGACTCTGTATCCTTATAATAAATTTCCCTTTTAGCTTAAACCACTCCAGTTTCTATTCCTTGTAATCAACAGTTCTAAATAATTGACAAACCTAGAGAAGCTAAACTCTTTATTAAAAAAAACAAAACATAACTTTTATCAGGTTGAAAAAGACAGTGACTTAATTCATTTTCCGTTCCTCCATCATTTAACTAGGAATTTCTCCCTCTTTATAACTCCTACAGTGCCTCGTGACTCTCTCTGTGTTTATCACAATCCACACTGTGTTCCAATTATCTATATAAATGTGATGTTGCCCTGCCTCTCAAGAATGACCAGGGAAGCAGCCAGGTTCAAGCAGGGCACGGGGTCGAGAAGAGAAGAGGGTAGGGCAGAACTCTCTCTGAGTGATCAGGCCACTGACAGCAGGAAGACAAGCAGGGGAATTTCACGAGGACAGGAAGGATGGCAAAGGGCCGGGGTCAGGGTGGTGGGTGGGTCAGCCAGGGATGGCCCAGAGCCTACATCGTGCTGAAGAAGCAAAGGATTAGAAGAGGCAGCAGTTGGGCCTGGATTCAGGGCAACCATCAGGACAATGCTCAGAATTACTGAGTGTGCAAAAAGAACTCACTGCCAATGCTGCCTCTTAATAGCATACCCATTTATTTAGTTCAATAAACATGTAGTGAACACGTGTAAAACACTGTGCCTGCTGCTTGGAGTTTTTGGTGGTGGCGGTGGGAAAATAAAATAATTAGGATTCAGTTCCTACTCTCAGGGAACTCATAATATAATGAAGAGATAAACAGGTAAAGAGAGATTTCCACTACTTCAAGATAATGGTTCCATTTGCTGAAGACCTGCTATAACCCGCCGTAGAGTTTTGTGCACAGCACCACTGCAGACAAAGCTCAAAGACAGGAGAGTGAGGTTATTCAGGGCTTGGGCAAATTAGGGTTCAAATCCTAGCTTTGCCATGTATCAACTGTGTGACCTTGGGCAAGTTACTTAACGTCATTAAGCTTCAGTTTCCTCCCATGCAAAACTGGGATAAAAACAGTTCCTTCCTCATAGGGTGGTGGTGAGGATGGGATGAGATGATGTCTGAAAGAGCCTGGTATAATAGGTGCTCAATAAATGTTAGCCATTCATTCACTTAACAAGTGTTTGAGTGTCCACCATGTGCTCCCACAGTCTGGGAGCTCAGGATATATCACTGAACAAAACTAAGATCCTGCCTTGAGGAGTTTGTGTTCTAGGGGGAGGGAACCAAGCACATTATATTAATGATTTTTATTAGTATCAATATTAATAGTAAGCAAATAGGATTCGAAAAAGGTTGTGAATGGCACAGTTTTACAGAGGAGGTGGCATCAGAGATATGACATGAAGGACGAATAGAAGATTTGCAGGGCAAAATGGGGTGGAAGGCATTTCAGGCAAGAGAGCACCTCCCGGCAGAAATTCAGAGGGTAAGTTCACAAGACTGTGCAAATTCACTGTGGCTGAGGCACAGGTGTGTGTTAGGCAAAGAGCATGGAAAGGGAGGTTGGAGCAACCGGCACAAGAGTCTTCCTGCCTTGCTACCATTTGGATTTTATTGTACGATAGGTGGTGAGCCAGTCCAGATTTTTAATCAGGAAAGAACATGTCAGAATGATAAGTCTAGAAGAGTGGCTTGGGGCAGGGAGGTATCCTTGAGGCTGTTGAATTAGTCCAGGCAAGAAATAACGAGTGGAGACAGAAGTAGCGTAAATACACAATGGGTGGAAGAGGGAGAGTCAGCAGGACTTGGTGACTCGCTGAAGTGGGGGGTGGGTGGTGGCGGGTGTGAAGTAGGAAAAGACTGCAAAATGTTCCTTTGGTTCAGCAGTGAGGAGGTAACTGATGCCCTTTGATGAGAACTGCTTCAATGGAATGATATGGATGGATGCAGTGGATTGAAAAGTGAATGGGAGGAGAGGACCAGTGGACAGTGAGTGTAGGCAATTTTCAAGAAGTGTGGTGATGAAGAGGATGAAAAAGCATAAGCTGCAGGAGTGATGAGGCTGAAAGTGGGACTTCAAGGTTATTTTAGGCTGTTAAGTTTATTGGTGGTTTGTTACGCAGTAGTAGCTATCTGACACAATTCAGTAGGTTTTCACTTATATAAAGTACAAAAGTGGGAAAAACTAGTCTATGCTATCAGAAGTCAGGGTAGTGATTCCTCTTGGAGGGTAGTGAAAAGGAGCATGAAGGAAGCTTCTGGAATACTGGTCCTCTTTAGGTTCTTGATCTGGGCATAAGTTATATGGGTGTGCTCATTTGAGATAATTCACTGAGCTGTACGCATGTGATATATGCACTTCTCTGTATGCATTTTATATTTCAAAATCAAGAAGAAGGAGAGGGAGAAAGAGGAGGAAGAGGCCACGTACACACAGACCTGGAGATGTATGAGGAGCAGAAAGGTGTTCAACATGGCTGGAATGTAGCATTCAAAGGGGAAGGTGTCAAGAGAAGAGGCTGGAGTGGTGGGTGGAGGCTGCACTGTGAAAGGCCTTATGTAACAGGTTAAGGGGTTTAGACTTTAACCCAAGGGCAATGGAATGCTACTGAGAATTTTTACACAAAAAGGCACCATAATTTGATGTGTGTTTCAGCAGGATCACTATGGGAGTTGGGGTCGAATGGATTGAAGGGGGCCAGGGTGGGGGCAAAGAGACAAGTTAGAGACCCATACAATCTCTGGGCAGGACACGATGTGGCCTGGATGAAGACAGTAGTGGTGGGAATGGGAGAGGTAAATGGACCCGAGAGAAGTTGAAGAGGCAGGAGCAGCAGGACATGGTGATTGACGGGATGGATGGCTGAGAGGTTGAAAAGAGTTGGGAAGTACTCCCAGGTTTTTGGCTTGAGTGACTAGGTTTATGCTAGTGACATTTCCTGAGGTGGGGAACAAGCGGGGAGGGCCAGGCTTTGAGCAAAGACAATGAGTTTAGTTTTCAACATGTTGAGTCTGCTGTGACTGTGGGTTGACCAGGTAGAAATGGTCAGTGGAAATCTTCTCTGGGACTCAGGAGAGGGGTCAGGACAGAGACGCAGATTAGGAAATCCTTTGCCCAGAGGTGGGAAGTGAAGCCATGGGTGGGAAATGAGACCCCCAGTGGGTGTGGAAAGCACTCCCACTGCCATCCCAGAGGCGACTCTGAATTTTGACCTTTTTCTGTTTTGTTCATAAGCCCTGCACACTAATAAACATTCTTCACTTCCACCGACATGCATTTATCAACATACGAATACATTATCATGCAATCAGAATCCTTTATCCTTCCTGGGCTGTGGGCCACAGGGGACCAGGACCAGGAAGTAAAGTGTCTCCTTCCTGAATCAGGCTGTGGGCCATTTACCAACACTGAACTTGGTCTTTTTTCAGTGGCTTGAAGCCTAAGGAGGTCTCAGTTGGTGGTCTAACTCAGCCTTGAGCAACGATCATGGTGGTTTTTGTCCTCCGAATACAGAAAACTGAACAGGACTCTGAACAGAAGGATTGCTCAGTGAAGTGACCTCAACACGGTCAAAACTCCGACAGGAACAGACAGAGCGATGGCCACCGACAAGTGCTTAACTCAGAAGAGGTTTCAGTGAAGGAGACAAAGACTCCAGCAATGAGTCGGATGTCTTAGGAGTTCGGTGTTTGGTGGTAGAATGCTGGGAAACACGATTAACCTGA